CATTGACTTACAATTATATGGACGTCGGGTCCGCGCTAAAAAGTGTCCGCACTTGTAAGGCGCTAAAATCGTATACAGAGCGCGACACTCCGCTTTAGTCTTCATTTGTTCTACGGACAGCGCGATACTGCGATGACATAACAATTTAAATTTCGAATAGGTTGACTTGGGACATTTTTTTCGTGGTTTTTGTATTAGACCCGTCGTCCATTGATTTGTAAGTCAATGTTCACGCTACATAAAACTTCAAAAGATATTATCTAAACCTAGGACATAATATGAGTCTTCGATTAATATTTTTTTCAAGATTTCCGGAAAAATTTTACTATTTGAAAATTTTGGTATTAGAATCAACTAATTCACGAGTTTTTCTGAGTGCTATTCGATTTTAGCTAGAAGCTGTGTTGTTCTTGAGATTGAAAAGTGTTGCCGCCGAAATAAGCATATTCCATCGTGTACAATAGCACATCCTTATGTGCGTTTAGCGTAACGACTAAATCTAGTTTTTTTGCGAATAGAACCGCCTGAATATTATTTGTATAGTGTGGATCGTTCACAGCTAGAGCACTCCGCTGCACTACCTACCTCGCTTCAAGGTTAGCTTCCAATTGTGGGACTCCTTTGGGGTGTTATAGCATAGTCCGTCGAAAGGTTGTATACCTACGCTACCTGCTTCCACACTTTCGTAAGTCCCTTCGTAGCTACAAAGGTACAAATCTCTACGTTACCTGCTTCCACTTGTGGGATAATTTTGTAGCTGCATATCGTAGACAATCTGGTAGAACTTCACTGCATTTTTGAAGTTTTTACAAATATAAATAAATCGCCGGGCATCTGGAGCAGTTCTACAAGCAGTTCGGGTTTTATTTGTCCCTTACAATACATTACTTCCTTTATTTAATACCATTTAGGTTTATCATTGTGTTTCTCAACTACAAGTGTAGTTGAGAATAATGAATTATGTTGTTACATTTAACAACATAATTCATTTATCCATTGTACAATAAAAACCACTTACGCTTTGTATTCCAACTACCATTTTTTATTTTATAAATTTATTGTAACAAATTTGGTACGTATTGTTCATTTGAAGCAAGAAATGTAACGGTCGTAAGACCTGGCTACCTCATAGTGCATAGTAGGTGCTTCTTTGATAATTATTATTTACTACGTTTCAATACAATACTTTCGTATAATTGAAATGTAATGTTGTAAAAAATAAAAGTAAGTTTGCTTTTAAAAAACATTTGAGGGAATTTATTTTTGATAGGCAAAAACTGGGTATTCCTAAACGCTTTACATAGCGGAGGCTTCTAGAATGAAGTCCCTTTCTTTATAGACATTTATTATAATTTTTATGTTACAATGACTTTCATCGCTATTAAGTACTGATTATTATTATTTTATTGTAATTACGATATCAATTATGAATACGTATTACAATTTTTTCTGAATCTTTGTCGCAGTTACTAATTTTTTTTATATTTTTATAATCTACATAATACTCACGTGATACTAACACATATGCAAACTTCATTCACTTCACAATGTTTTTGCTTTTGATGCACCGCAACGCGCTACCCTCGAAGGTGGTGGCTGAAAATCAGTGCTTTGCTATTGGGCAAATTTTGCACTGCGCCACGACCTATTTGGCTTGCTTTAGCACACACAAGCCGTTGATCGTTAGGTCAATATTACGTTTTTATTTTTATTTTTTTGTTTATTCATTGTATTGCTGTTTGTTTTTATTTCACTTTCTTTAATTTTGATTTCTGTGTGTTTCTTTTAATCAATTTACTCTATTGTATTGTTGCGTGTGTGATGCAAGACATTAACGTTTTATCAATCTATCTATCATAAATGAATTACGTCTCTCTGTACAGATGTGTTCTCTCGCTAGATGGCGCATGGATGCGGGTGCTGTTTGACTGTCAAAGTCCATATTATAAATATCATTTGCTAACTTATGTATAAGTTGAAGTATAAAAAACTTTGAACATAAATACAAACGTTGATTTAAACAATGTTTTAGTTATTAAAAAAAAATAAACGTCACGCCGATTTCACGTCCCGCCATGAGACACCACCGATAACGAGGTTACGATCAGTTTACCTCCATATCTTTTAAGTAAAGGAAATAATATTTGAAAAAAGCTATAATATGAAATTATTAAAATAAAAATTGAAACGGTATAACATTTTGAGTTACAAAATCTCATAGTAAAACCGCGCCTCGTTGCATGCATTGATTGGCAACCTCCATGGTGGAGTGGTTTGCACACAGGTTTTATTGGTTCTTATGGTCTTCAAGATCATCTCTGACGTCGCCAGGTACAAACCTCGGGGAAAATATATATTTTTCTATTAAGTCGATATTTATAAGAAATACGAATAAGCTATAAAATAAAGGTTTCAGACAATGAACATCAAGAACCGCCCATTACGTAAGTTTTCGTCTAACTGGATTTAATTTAATTCGTGGTAGACATACAAGTCATATTAATAATAAAAAAGGTCATAAAAACTAAAAAGGGTATCCATGGTATTCTATTATGCTATGTATAGGTACCACTAACATGGGTTAAATATAACAATGAAAATCAATAAAAAAATACTTTTTCACTTCAGTACTTTGGAAAGGTTTTTTTCTTTCTCCTTAGAAATCTGGGCGTTATTCTTTCCAGGCTAGCGTGGAAAAGGTTTTTGAAATTCGAACTTAACAATGGACTGTGGTGCACCTAACTTTTCCTTAGATGAAAAAAAAAACATAATGACAAGTTCAACTACGAGATTTGTCATATTAGTTATGAATATAAATCCATTGGTATATTTTATTCTTATTACTGTTGACATTAAATTGACAACGATAACTAATTTTCTTTATGAAGTTATTTTGTTGTAGTTCAACTAATTTCTCTCATCTTCCATTTTCCTCGCTATAGTGAGATCAAAAGTTGCATGTTTCTTTCGGCAGCAAAGTTGTTTTGCGTCTCATGCCTTAAAACCCTCGCTACGCTTAGGATTCTATTTTTGAATCGCTTCGCTTGTGGTTCAATCTTAGGGTCGCATTCTAGAACTCTACTCAATGCTCAAGTTAGGACTTGAGTATGGTTTAAAGCACTTGATATCATACTCAAGTCCCTGCCATTAGGCTCGTATTTCCAGTGCTTGTGTTGCCAGTGCAATCCTGACTTGAGCATTGAATAGAGTTCTAGAATACGATACTTAGTCTCCTTCGCTTGCTAAGGTTTCAACATTAGCACTCGCCTCAAACAACAACTTTGCAGCCTTGCGTAACAAATAAAGAATGGTAGAACTGCTAAGAAAGTACTAGGTAGAGTTTATTAAATATATTCTTATTGTCTAGCTGTATCTTCAGCGTGTACATGTGCTGTCCAATAAAAGTTACATTCTTGTGTATCCTGAGATACTGTTTTCAAATATGCAATGCTAGCGTAAGGTAAAGAATTCAATTCCGTTTTTGCCTTGTCCAACATTTCCGATGGTAGAGTTGTGTTTCTTGACAATATCCAAGCTGAAACTGATAAACACATCGATGTTGTAAATTTTGCAGCAGAAACAATGGCAGTGAACAAATAAAAATTAAGTGAGAAGCATAAATTTGCTAATCTTGCTTTTATTATAAATAGAACCCTCAAGATCCAATAAATCGATATTAATGTCTTCGATATATTAACGTGTTTGATATACGATAAGTTGATTACAACTTCAACGACGATATATACTCATTGATACTTAAAGAAGTTACAAATACATACTGTATTTCATGCCTTGTAAAACGACGCTTTTGCAGCCGTATACAATTGCATAATTATCGTAGTCGGTGAATGTTACAGATAGCGGAATTCCAAATGGATCTGAAAAAAGATTATACATTAAATTAAATTAAAATTAAAAATATTATTATTTGTCAATTCTATTTATTATATAAGAGACATTGGTCTCGACCGCTACCACTATCCACCTATTTGCTTGTCCGCATGTAAGCACATCCACTGGTGTACCAGCGGAGAGTCCCACCGGTCAGTAAAAGCTTTCAGGATGCTATTGGATGATCTACGCAGGCGGCTCAGCAGACAGAACCGCGGCGGACCCGGCAGCACCCTGAACGCTTTATTATTACAATATAATAACGCGTTCAGGGTACTGCTGGCGCAATACGCCGGCTGAACGCTGCGCATATGGCACCTAGAGGCTGCAAATGAAGAAGGATTGGCAGAAAGCTTTGAATAGAGTTATCTTGACTTCGTTAGAGCGGCGTGCGAACCTCCGACGCAGAATATTACAGCGGACAACCAGAGCCCTGCACTCTCTCGCTCTCTCTTACTTCTCTTTTTAATGAATAATTGAACGAGACTCGGCCACAACTTCGACCGCGATGTTAGACGTTTGTTCAGTAAATGCCTACCTTTATACTTATATATTAGCTTATTATATAATAGCTCTACATTATAGTAGTCGGAAAGGTGATTTTGACACGTTAGCGAATAATAGGTAAAATCTTATTCCGAAAAGTAACTTACAATTTAGTCAAGTACAAAAGTAAGTTAGGAAGGTGGTAGTATTTAAATTCAAAAACTAACATCAATCCTGTGAGCATTTGTGGTACGTATTGTCATTGATATTAGTCATCAAACAACTTCGTTTCTAATCTTATTTTGTATTTGATAAATTTTAAATCTGGTACTTCATTATATGAGTATACTAATCCTGCTTGGTTTAGATAAAATGTTATCTTTGCATTCTTAAACGAATTGCTAAAAATTAGTCACTCTAAGTCTACTTACCGATATTGTTTTTCTTTATTTCAAAAACAGCTTCATCACCATGAGTGTAGGTGCTATTAACGTGCAGAATATACTGTATTTCATTTCTAATAAATCCATGTTCTATTTCAATCCAATTTCCACACCAGTCAATGGTCTTGAAAGCGCATGATCCATATTCCTCATACCACGCTGGGAATCGTTCTATCTCGTACCATTTGCCTAGAAACTATTAAAATGGTTCATATTATTTATATTTATTGGTTCATAACCTTTTGACGATTCCGCGGCTCGTTTTTTTGATACTAGTAAAACATTTAAAGTAACATGAAGTGGTTTTTTTACTTTTTAGAAAGAGTTCATCCAGGGTAATACAGCCACCTAACCTATTGCTGCCGCCAAGCGGTAATGTGAGCATTACGGCGTTCTGGTTTAGAAGGGTAAGGGGTGCTAGTGAAATAACAGGCACATTGGACTTCTTAACTCATGTCTCAGGTTGACGACCGCAGTGACAGTGCCTTTCAGATTTTTGCGAGATAAAGTTCTGATTGACACTGCAACCGCTATGGACAGGCATGTCGCTTACCACCAGGCGCACGACTTGTTCGTCCCGTCAATTGGTATCATAAAAAATGCACCAATATAACATAAAATATTATGTCCAAAAAAGTGTATGTTAGGTAAAGATAAAAAAGTAATTGCTTTTGCGCAACATCGGCACCATATCATGTTAATCCTCAATAAGAACATTTTTTGTTACAGCAAGCTTAAAAAAGTTTTCTGTTCCTCATTCACATTCACACACATTCAGTGTGGAACCGCTATGTTATCGCGATTTCAGTTGGTAAAAGTTGTTTAATATCATGAATTTAATCACCTCCACAAATCTCACAGACCTTCCAGCGTTTGACTCTATATATACATTAACACACGGGTCCAAAGGTTACATATCACAAAGCATGAATAGACCTTTTTGTAACACTGTTTATCAATGAATGACGTAGAACAAGAAGCAAATGGATGCCGTCTTCTTGTTCATTGATTGTGATCTAGCGTACTAAGAAGTTTTACACTTTCTGGAGTTATCTGGTAATCGCTTTCAATTATCACCCTAAATAAAAAAAAATATTGTGTCTAACTTTACCCTTTCAATATCAAAAAATTTTACTGTCTCGACTTGCGCACAAGTTCCAAATTGTATCACTTGAGCACTACATGACGAAAGCGCAAAAATAAATGAAAAAAACTTAAAAAATACTCTTAATATCATTTTTGATGATGTTCTATACAATGACAACAGAGTGATAGTGACATATGAAACGAAAATTGTTTATCTCAATTTATCTAAGAACGGTCATCTTATAATTTTATCAGGTGACCCGATAAATCTATGAGACATCGACAGACACCCAGTACGTACACATTCGAGATAAGATATAATAGATAATATAGTTTTGAAATGTGGCTTGATTAAAAAATAATAGATAATATAAGACACATACAAGAAAGTTTAAACTGGCATCTGATGTAGTTAATTACTGGATTAACTTCAATATCAACTTCACTTTCACCATTATCATTTGAATTATGGATACAATGAGACTTGAAAATGTATTACATCTAATTAAAAATTTTCACATTTCTTTACTTAATTTTTGCCTTAAATAGGTCGGAGGCTAAGTGCGTAACTAAGTTTAAGTTATAAGTCGTTGTTTCATGCACAAAGGATGTTCAAATCTTTTAATAAACGCAGAGAAGGAAGTTAAAGGGAGTAATTTGAAAAGTCTTCCTTCCTATCTATCGACAATCGTGTTATAAAAAAGTGCAACAAAGAGAATTTTACTGTTATTCCGAGACTCGTGACAAACGAAAAAGTAACTGTTTTTAAATGTTTATTTCCTTTTAGTTAATACTTCTAGTTATTACAGAATTTTAACTCAAAGTTGTTTGTGGAAACTCTTACATTATTGACACCTTATATCAACAAAGTGGTCAGTTGACGGGCTACTAATTGTACTAATGTATGTTAACAATGTTGTGTACTGTCCGTGTAGTTTCTATTTACATTCTTAAATGACCTTACACGAAAAAATTCTTCTAAAACGTTATTGTTTCTGTTCTAATAAAGAAAAAGTGCAAAATTTTCACTAAGAATTCTCATAGTTTAGACTAAAATCACATTTGAAAACCAGCCGCATTTGACCACATGATAGATATTCGAAAAATAAATGTAACGTCGTCATTCTCCTAACAACATTATTGACTTTATTAATATGGGACCTACTATGCTACCTTGAGGTACGCTAAGAGAAATGTTAATGCAATTTTGATTTTAAACACTATAGAGTAGTGCATTAGACTCCACGTGAAACGAGTAAAGTGAGAGCGTTTCTTGATTTGTTAGTAAATACTGCGGTAAACAATGAATTTATTTAATTTCATTAGTTGTAGAGATTGTGATGGAAAAGAAGTAGAAAAAAATTAAGATTTTTTAATATAAAAAAAATTAATTATTTAAAAAAAATATTAATTAATTAATAAAAAAAAACCTAAGAACTCGATAGAAAAAAATATTTTTTAGTACCGGAACAGGTGCGTAAGTACAACAAAAGTAAATCGCAAGCAAAAACAAATGACTGTATAAAGGACGTTACTTTTTACAACGTCTCGCAGTTGACGAGTCGCATCCGTACTCCGTGCCAGTTACTAGGTAGACAAGGTTCCAAGATGTTCATTTGTGGTTTTGTTTTAGTACTTTGTGTTTTTAATGTAGATGCCATTGTGCAAAATGTTAGTTGCCCTGTGGTTACTCCAATGGAACTGGATTGGAAAGAAGTGAGTCGGATGATAAATTATATCATAAGAAATAACTTTTAGTAACAAAAATGCTAAGGTGGCCTTGTTCGGTCATACTTGGTTTCTATATAGTTGGTTTAAGGTTCAATTCCAACAAGTGGATCTATTCAGTGAATCCTTTTTAAATTATCTACGGCTTAGTTTAATAACATCACACTATGTATTGTTAAAATTTCTTATATTGCAGATAAAACGAATAGGACAAAACATTCCAAATATTTTACCTTCAATTTTAACACAATAATATAGTATTAATTGTATATTATCTAAGCTCTTATACCAATTAATGACATGAAGATAATGAAGGCCCAAAATGATGAGAGTTAAAAGATAGAAGAAATACATAAGTGGATAATATGTTTGAAATTGATAGGAATTGTACTGGGGTACTATAATAGAACTATCAATAGCCCGATGACAATGAGAGAACATGGTAATGAATTGAATTCAATGAGAAGCCCTGCGTTTGGCCTATTCACTGGTAGTCCACACACTTAACTTTATCCAAATTCCTGCATTCAAACCACTGTTACCTCTTTTACAGTTAGATGGAAAATGGTATCTAGCAGCCGTTGCCACCGACAAGCCAGTACAAGGCGACTGTGCCATGGTTCTTTTCAGCCACAAATATGACAATTCCACAGATCTTTCAATCAGTTGGATTGACAATAATACTGTCAGCTTTTATAATGGATCCGTTAATCTGAGTGTAGACCCTTACAGTAATGATACTATTGATGGAGATGTTCTTATTGTTACATATACAGGTAATAGTTTAGTTATTTGTTTAGAAATAATGCAACGTTTACATAACAAATGAGAACTGAATAATTATGCAAACAAAAATATCACACGAGTTGGATCAATATGCTAGTGAAGGTCACAATAAATTTTTGGATGGAGACGAACCTGTTCGTCTGTAGATTTTGACATTTTATTAAACATTCCTTAGGTTCTGGATTTTTTTTATACCAATGGTCTCTGTACAGAATTCGCCTGAGGAGGTCACACCGTTCTATATATTTTTATTCCAAGACAGCTCTGTTACTACAGATTAAAGATCTTAAGTAACAGGTATTCAATATTAGGGATAATTGCTTAGGCGATTATAGGTACTTTCCATCAAGTGTATCTGATCATGTTTACAAATATTATTTATAAAAAAACTAGCTTGATGTTAATCGTGGTGATATTACATTTGACATAGTCTAATAGTGGTTTGAGGTCTTAGGTTATAATTAACTATGACGTGATAGAAAACTTCAGAAATGTTTGTAGACCTTGAAAGAATGTATCATAGACAATGCAATTCTTAGATCTAGCTCAAGCCCGTATATCATTCTAAATTCGCATATCCTGTTCACATCCTGTTAGAATCACAGCTAGCGTGTGGGTCTTAGTCAATCCTACGCTTAGATGATATGACTAATTTACTAACGTTAACTGAAACTAAGTCTAGGTACAAAATATTCCGTACAGTTGAAATTTATTTAAGTAATGGTTTGTTTTCTTCTGTTAATATCTTTTTAATATTTGTTTTTTCCAAATTATACAATAATTGAAAATAAATAATTGTTTGGGATCTAAAATCGCATGTAATATCACGCCTTGGTATAATAAAGCCACATCTAAAAAATGATAACTTTTTACACTTAAATAGGAGAGTTATAAAATTTCACATGTTACATAATTATGTTTCATTTAGTTCTTATTATCTTTTGATATTCGTGGTATAAAAAAACTTTTCAGGTATAGTCACAAGCGGTTTTATTATATCAATACCATCTCAGTCAGTCGTGACCATGGAACCAGTAACAATCCCGAAACATTGGTTAAAACCTGAGAACTTAATATATACGAAAATTGTTCTTAATTAATCAAGTCTCATTTTTCTGGATCCTTTGCTATGTCTCGACGAATGATGTTAAGGTTCTGGCAGAAAAACAGTATTAGAGTCGTTCTTGGAAGCGTATTTGTTATAATGCATTAACGCCAATGCGATGAACATACAACAGACAGCGCATTTGGCGTAAAATTTCTAATAAACACTTTAGTTTTTAGTTTTCATGTCTTATATATCTCACTCATGCTGTAATAAAGTCACATCCTGCAAAATGAGAACATTTCGGCTGAGAGATTTAAAGATTATAGAAATGAAATTAGGCGATAAGTTTTTCAGCTTGAATATGGGAGTTGACACGACTTGTATAAAATTTGGTTCGTGTAAGTAGTTCATATTATGTTTATGAATTACTTGTGATACAATGAACTTTTTTTTTAATTCAACCAACTTCAATGACAATGGGACCACCTCGAAAGTGTATTCTTTCACACCAAAAAGAATTTTCAAAATCGGTCCATAATTGACGGAGAAATCGGTGAAGATATATAAAACATACATACAGCCGAACATAAATAACCTCCTACTTTTTTAAATCCAGTTAAAAAGCACTTTTGGTGGTTTTATCGTACCAAGAGCACTTATTGTGTTTGCTGTCTTAAGTCAAACTAATTTTAAACACTCTAACAGTTCACAGCCTAATTCACAAAGTAATTTTGTTAACCAAATTGGCAAAACATGTAAACAATTGCCTGACAAGAAATTTCGGATCCTGACTTAATGGCGTTAGTAATTACCTTATAACATCAATGTTTATCGGTATGAAAAAAATATACCATTGAAATTCCAATATACATAATTAAGTAATGAGGTTGTCAAGACCGTAGCAAATAGAGGTCCATAGTTTCGTTTCTAAGCGTGGACAGTATCTGTACAGCCCAGATTACATCAACCTTGACACTTTGTATTTTGAGCTGTTGTTATCGCAAATGACATAGAGATGAATTTAAACCTTTAGTATCAAGTTTGACTTGCTCTTGTACGTATTTTACAATCTTAATACATTTGTAAATCAATTTTATAGATTTAATTTTTGGAGTAATACAGCTCCAGAACAAATCTTAACACGTGATTATAGACAAGCAGGTGAAAGTTTCCAATATCATTTTCTAAATGGTTTTTAAATGAAAACATGAATTTTTTTATTTCCTGCAGAGATTGCTTTTGTGGTCATGACAAAGATAAGTTGAAATTTGCGTACCATTAAAGAAACGTATAAACGTTTTAGAGCGGTTACACACGGCGATTTTCAGCGAGTTTTCACTTCAATGGTATAATTTTTTGCTATCGATAAACATTGATGTTGTAGGGTAATTACTAACGCCATTAATTCAGGATGCATTAATATATAACAAACAATTAATTCCTCTTTAACATGAAATATAGGAAGTTAGTTTTTTTCTTGTAATATTATTTAAACACTGATCATGAGCTAAAATCATTTCCAGAAATTTGACAAATATGCATGTCAACATGGCTTTGTGTGTCACAAACTTTCTAATATGGGTAGATGGCGCTAATCCTAAACAAAATAAAAGAATAGCCAGCACGATCCTTAAAATTCTGTGCAATAAGCGCCATCTATATGATTTGTTTATTGTCACTAGAAATTAGAGTAGCTTTAATAAATTGCAGCTTCTCAATGTAAAACGAATTAGTTACAAAAATAACGACCTCTGGTGCACCAATAGGTATTAAATACCCGACTAGACTATCTTGTATCGCATTAGCAGTCCTCTTGAGTCATTAGAGAACCGCAACGGCGATCAACGTTATGAAAGGACAACGTCCCTTTATAGTTTATTCACTGGTATGCTAATAAAACATTCTTAATATAAAATTTTACAGACGCAACAGTGGAGACATACTCTTTCTTGACTGTAGACTACGAGCACTACGCCTTGATGTTCACCTGTACCAATAACGACGACAACAGCAGTAATTGTAAGTTTATTTCTTTCAAACGTCTTTTTTAAACATGTAATTGAATTAGGATCTTGCAGAGGAACCTTATTACCTCTACCTTTTTTGGGGGTTGATGTTGCTCGCTTTCGTAGGTTTACCCTCGAGACCCTACAAGTGAGGTGCTAAAGAGCAATAACTACTGGCGGTAGGCTTTGGCCGTAGCTAGTCACCACCCTCCCGACGCTGTCGAGTCGCCAAATGGTTTTACTGTGCATTGCGTCTGACGACGAGTTGTAGCTGCTTGTACTGCCACACTGAGCACTCGGTTCTGGAGGCTAGCGGGATCCGTAGCACGGTGCACCGCTAGCTGACCGTGGGAAGTTGGGGGCCCAAGTAGCGGGAAAGCCACCCGTGACGGCCTGCCCCGCCACCCAACTAAAAATCCCGGAATGCTCCACCTTGCCGGTTGGCGACCGGAAGCCCGGAAGGGAGGACCAGGTGGCCTTGCTCAGGGGGGTTCGGGCATCCCCGCGGTCTCCAAACCTTTTTTGTACCCTCGTGTGACAGTGTGAGCTTGCTGCTTGGTTGAATACGACGCAGTGCCTCGTTCAACTGCCTTCCTCCTGCCTATTCACTTCTCCAAAAACAAGCATGAAAAGCAAAAATGAAAAAAGTATACACAGCGGTTGCACGTCCTCCCACTAAAAGTGCACCTCACTAACATCCGAGGTCTGCACTCAAATCTCGATTCGGTCCACTACCACCTTGAAACCGACAAACCGCAGCTGGTGTTCCTCACAGACACGCAGATCAAATGTCCGCCTGACGAATATCGAAAACAAGAATAGTTGTTCCCATACCAGAAGACCGATCACGCTGGGAGAGAGACGCGTAAACTTGCGTTAACGCTAAGCCTATCCCAGCTTGTCAATGGTGCCACTAGGATACCAGATGTTAAATCTCATACGGCTAATTGCTTTGACCTTTTGACAACTGATCCGGACCGATATTCTGTGGTTGTGGATGCTCCACTGGGTGCTTCCGACCATTATCTGGTGAAAACTGTATCCGTATACTCCTCACCCGGTCAGGGCCCTAGTGGTATGAGGCGGGTGTGGCGATACAAGTTAGCTGATTGGGACGAAATGCGCAAGTTTTTGCGTGATATCCCTGGCAGGCGTGCTTTACTTCAGGAGACACGTCGAGCTGTGCTGATACTGTAGTCGAGGTCTTGCGTTTGGATATGGTATTACATACTATACTCTGATGTACCCAATGGACCCCAAGCTCGTCCATGGTACGCTTGTTGTAGTTGTGCTGAAGCATATAAACAGTCCGCGTACCAAGCTTGGACAGATACTCGACAATGCAAAGCTCACTCACAATTTGAAGAAAGCTTTTAATATGGCCACCAAGAAGTGCAAAAGCGTGTTACGTAGGGCCAAGTTCGACCATGTGCGCCGCATAGGGGCCAAGCTTGCCTCTTATCCAGCAGGCTGCAAATCCTTTTGGTCCCTGGCCAAAGCGGTCAAATCTAACTTTTGTCGCCCATCTTTGCCACCTCTGCTGGCGCCGGATGGCTCGCTGGCTCATACTGCAGAAGAGAAGGCAAATCTCTTTGCCTCACTCTTTGCAGTGAGTTCGCGTCTGGATGCCGCAGGAAACCTACCACCTACTTTACCTCAGGCTGGCTGCACTATGGCGCCAGTTCGCATACGCCAAAAAGAGATACTTAGAACTCTGCGAAATCTAGACGTGAATAAAGCTAGCGGGCCAGATGGAATTCCAGCAATAGTCCTGCGTAACTGTGCGCCTGAATTGTGTAACTATAGACCTATCACAGTCACTTCCATACTCTGCAGGACTGTGTGACGTGTACTCAACAACCGTCTCCTATCGTACCTTGAAGACAACGACCTCCTCAGTGATCACCAGTACGGATTCCGACGAGGGCTATTTACTGGGAATCTTCTTGTGTATGTCTGTCACATATGGAGCGAGGCTATAGAAAGGCAAGGCGAATCACTTGCAGTGTCTTGCGACATTTCTAAAGTCTTTCACAGGATCTGACACGCAAGCCTTTTAAGTAAGCTTCCCTCTTATGGGCTTCTCACTGACGTTTCAATTGGATCTCGGATTTCTTGAGCTAACGTTCAATTCGTGTGGTCTTAGAAGGCTATTCTTCCAAGTTCCTCAGGGTTCCGTACTGTCTGCAACTCTCTTTCTGCTGCATATCAATGATATGTTAATTCCAGATACCTTTGCGTATGCTGATGACAGCACAGTTGTAGATAGGTACTTGACCAATGCAAGGGTCAGTGGAGAGGAAATCCAGTCTTGTCGAGAGTGTATGTTTAGCCGTTTAGATTTGACACTCCAGGCAGTCTCCGATTGGGGCAATGCCAATCTTGTCATATTTAACGCTACCAAAACGTAGATGTGTCTATTCTCCACAAAACGGAGTCCCTTTGAGCTGACTCCAACTTTTCGTGATATATCCATATATTCAACCGTACATATCAACTGGTCACTTTGGATTCAATTGACAACTGTGCCAAGAGGCTTATAGGTGACTCGGAATTAGTGGAGGCGAAGCTATAGAGCCTTGAACACCGCCGTAAAGTTGCCTGCTTATCGGTATTTTACATGATATATCACGGACAGTGCGCGATGGAATTACACGATTTATTTCCGCCTTCCCCTTTCCATCACCCCTATGTTGTGGATATTCCAAAGATTGGCACGAACGCTTTTTGGACCTCCTCAATCTGGTTGAGACGTGGAGGTTGATTTTTCTCCATCTTTGAATCCATTTTCGCTTTATAAATTTCATATTCTGCTTCTTATTGTATCGATGACATACATTATATTATTTCGACTCAAAACTGACATAATATAGGGCTGTTAGTAAAATTTTAACAACTTGGCACGACAATATTACCACAGACCACATAAAAAGAATATTACTAACATCATAAACAATAACTTTGCTCCATGACTTTTTACAAAACATAATAAATTTACCAAAATTAAACTTTTAAGCTTTTGTTGTACTATCTGGTACTTTTTAGAACTGTCTTTGGCAGTACGGTAGAAGTTCAAATTTGCAAGCCGCTCCAGCGATTCCCACTCGCGCTTCTGCGTTTTGATAGGGTTATCACCACAGAACAATAATGCAGTAGAAGTGGTTAGTTAGCGTCGGAGGCGTGTCAGTCCGCCATTTTCGCTTTGTATGGTATTTACTTCTATTTTAGTTCGAAAGTAAAATGTTATGAATTATTAAAAGCATGGAACAAAAATTGTCGTTTACGATGTTCGTAGTATAGACCTGTGAGGTTGTTAGTATTTGACAAATATGGCTAACAACGTCACTTTTCCAATAAGGCTTGTTTTTACCTTTGAAGAGTTTCGTGAAAATACTCTGTTGGGTAGATATTTTTTATAGTTTTGCAAGTTAGTTATTGAATTTTATATTGAAGTAATGCTAATCATTGTGTTTGTTGATTAACTTTATCTGTTTTTACCTCTGTCTTGTCCACGACTTCCTATTTATTTTAAAAGTTATAATGTCGCGTACATTTTATTGGAGTTGTTTTGATTTTGTTCACAGATATGATAACAAAACCATATCACTGCATGAAATGCATTGCGCTATAAGCGACGAAATTCCCTAAATAAGGATAAAATATGTATATTATTTTTATCGCGTCAATGATATAATCTTTTTAAATTACGGTGGTCAATTGTTCGTCATTAATTTTAATCTACAGATATATAATCCATATATTTATGAATGTATGTTTATTTGTAAGTATGTTTTTTCGTACACGTTTCGTTATTATTCATTGGGTTGGGATAAAACTTTCGTGAGTTAGTTACAAAACATGAGGTGAGCCAGTTGTTTCATAAACAAAGGGTTGCCTGGAGAAAATGCTACTTAGCAATAAGGCCCCTTGTTGTGCATTAGCTTACTCTGCGATACTTACATTACTGTTCTGTCTTGTCATTTTTATTTTTAATTTGCAATAATATTTCTTCCATTCACTCACTCCTTCATTTATCCATTCATTTCTTTATTTCTTCATTCTGCCACGCAGAGGTCCCAAGTTCGATTTCCGGGCCGGGAGAAATGTTTGTATGGCCTACGTTTATTTCTCTCGTGAGTTTGGGTGTAATTTGTGGTTGTCTATGTGTGTCCATGGCATCCGCGACACAAGGTTTCCCTAGTGCGGGGCTATGTTGAGTGTGTGCGTTATTTATTATTCATTCTTTCAAATGTGTCTACAACCGGAGGGGCGGTTCTTTAGCAGATGCACTTCTCGATTATGTGACTTTCTTTTGTTTCAACAAATGACAAATATTTTTTCTCTTTTAGTGAAGTAAGTTTTTAAGTTTTTAATAATGTATCTTAATGGGCTCCAATAAGGTTGTGACGTTACAAAAAGATTTGCCATTTGTAACTCCGGATTTCTTAAATCCTACAAATTTTGTTTTTCAACTAATCAAAATTTTTGTTTCACATTTGATCACAAATTTATTTTTATTATTAGAGCACATGAAAAGCACGCAGCATTTTTGTAACATAGCACTTTCTGGAGAATTCTTGCGCAGTTTCGGCAACTACCCTATCTAATTGACTAACGTGTCACATCATCAATCCATTTATACGTCCCACTGCTGGATACGGGTTTCTTCTCAGGCGAGGATTATAGACCATAGTCCGCCACTCTGGTTCAATGCGGGTTGGGGACGTCACACCTTTTTCGAGGGTTGTGAACCTTCGTCTTGCATGGTAATTTTCAAGTTAAATTTCGCTCACAAATTCCGAGAAACTCAGACGCGGTAGGTCGAACTGTTTCTGTCAGTACATAGATATATTTATTAATATGCTTTATTGGGTTAATCTTTTGAGATTTTATTTGAGTTGGATTGTGGATTTTTTTGTTGTAACTGCTTTGTTTCCTGAGCGTTTGATGGTATCTAATAAACCAATTTTTGAGTTTCTACACTGGAAAGCACATAAATACTCTCTGTGTGAAAAACTTGGAAGTACTACAATAAGGAAAGCACTAAGGACACTGTGTCCTCTTATTTCCAATACCTATGTTTTCCTGCACCGAAACGCTCATGGTAAATTTCAGATTAAATTCCATTCCATTACGCTACCACGGCCTTTTAATCGTGTCACGGTAGACGTAAACTTCATAATGCTGTGTACAATTTCAATTGCTTCCATTCCGTTGTCCCTATGTGCTTACCTAAAGGGTTCCCTGATAAGACCAGTCCGGGCCAAGCCCTCCAGTGATAAGCGGGAGATTCACGGGCGTCTCTGGTGGACCCAGATTTGGGTATGAACTCGCCGGATCGCCTGTCTCGTGCGCAGCTAGCGCGTCTTAGTTAGTAGCGGCCTAGTTGAGAGCCTAAGGCGAGGAGATACCCGGGGCACGTGAGTTGCCCTTTAAGTTGGAAGCTATGTCCAAACATTTTCGCAGAACACGGCGACCGACATCTCCAGGACTAGCCCGGAGAGCTAGTGGAGGATGAGCTAGATATTCTCCAGTCCCTCCATCCGCGCAGGTTTGTGGGAACTGGAGAGACGCCTCGACGTCGGGAAGTGAGCGTGCCTTATAGCTGTAAGGCGGAGCTCCGCCACCAAAGAGGAGATTTGGTAGTGGACTTTAGAGTCAACAGCTACCGTTAGTTGAGCAATGAGCAACGGGGAGTGAGCGTGCCTATAGCTCCGGTACCTACTCTGGAAAATAGAAAGGATACTGTACGTGCACTCGTTGCACTAGCCTTTTGAGAACCGGATGAAGTCGGTGCAAACGGGCTGACATAGCGTCAGATCGTGAATGAGCAAGCCCGCACAGAGACCTTCCCTGTGTTGGCTTGCTTACACAGATTATAGTGCCCTTCCTGTATAACCAAGAGGTTGATAAGGAGAGTCACTACAAAAAAAACTTATGTAGAAAGATATGAAACTATTTCTATTCCGTTTTGCAGCTCTGTAAATTGAGCCTTAGAGTAGGTTAGCGACTTACTTTGGTCTCTTTTCTTTCGATTGAATTACTTTGTCAAATATAAATTAGGTATAGTTTTTAGAACTAATTTAATTCATCAATTGAATTACTTACAAATAAGCATGCTTGTTTACGAGGTGATAAGTAATTTGCTGCTTCGTTGGAGGCCGAGGGCAGTGGAACGGAAAATCTCGTGATCTTGTTTGTTTTGGTTACTTTGTATTCTTTCCATTTCTATGTGCGGTATTTTTGTTACACCAAGCGACAGGACAAGCAAATCGTACGTCTGGTGTTAAGCGACAAGCCTATCCATAGCAGTTGTAGTGCCACTCAGAGTTTTAAATCGCAAAGGTCTGAGGGACACTGCCACTTCGCCTGTCACCCTGAGACTAAGTTGACAAGTCTCACGTGCCTGTAATTTCACCAGCGCCCTTAACCTTCAAACCCTTAACCTTTCTGTTCCAGCGAATTCTCTCACAGGCAACCGTATGAGCAGCGTTTACAAAAATTCAACATGGTTACTTTGCGTGATCGAAGGCTTTTGTTGGACTTGTGTTTCCTGCACAAGCTCATTAATGGACTGGTCCAATGTAATGATTTACACGAATGCATTTCTCTGAGTGTCCCGTATAAATATCCTAGAAACGCAATAACAAAAATGTTCTATCCCCCCCCCCCTTGTAAAACCAATCTTGGCCTTCAATCCCCTTTGACTAGGAGTTTGAACGAGTACAATACGATTAACAGTAAAATCGAGGACTTAGATGTGTACCACGACAGGATAAATATTTTTGTCAATAAAATTTCAAAATTATTCAAATTCGAGCAGTAGGTATTGATAACGTTAATTTAAATTAAGTTAATATAAGTTGTTTTAGTAACCCTTCTATTATAAATGCTAAGTACACCGTAATTGTAATATATATCAGATGTAATTCCGTATGTTGAATGTTGAAATGTTTTAATATATATGATGTGGTAGTAGGTACTTAATAAATAAATAAATAAATAAACCCGGAACATAGTAATGCTCACATGACGTATTGCTTGGCAGCAGAATTAGGTAATGTGGCAGTACTTTCCTGGACGAACTTTTTCACGGCGCGCTACAGCCACTGAACTTCTCTTCTGCATAGTGCATCTCGAGTCAGAAAAGCAATCATGTCATATTTCGGAAAATTGAGAAACTGACTCTTTTACATATTTGTAATCACCGCATCTCAAGAAAGCAAGATAACGCAGATATGCAAAATGTTCTGATGCACTCGGTGAATGAGCAAGGCAAGCTAAGGCAAGGATAGCCTAGAGCGACGGTAGAAGGCGTATAGCCATCGTCTCTCCGAAGGACGGGTATGTGCGCTTGTGTTTACGCGAACGTTCGCGCACCTTAAAATATCCAGCATAATTGATCGTTTCCGTTTTATTGGATTCAGATGTCTTAACAGACCTAAATGTAGAGAGATCTGGCATAATGTAGCTACGCTTTTTCCAATTCCTTGACATATGCGGTCCTGGAGGTGTGAGTGACCTTGATCGTATTTGCCACGCATATCTGGGGCGACAATGTAGATTCCGCAATTATGTTGGCGGCGTATATAATATAATGGATTGGAAAGTGGATAAATAACTCTCAGTTTGAAAGTACCTGACGATTCTTATCAAGGGGAATTTATTCAATCACACTCGCTCTCTCTTGATTGAATCAATCAAAATGCTCAAAATATCCGATCCTATCACTCACAACGATAGCAGCAAGTTTTTAATTAATTAATTTAATCATGATGAGATTCTGTCAAGGAGTGCTAAGATAAGATTTTCTTTAATGCAGTTTTTTTTTCAAAGGCAGTGAACATTCGTCGTTAGCAATAGGTATCACCAGACACAAATATACGTAATTTAGAAATTAAAATCAGGGACTTGTATCGTCTGACGCATAAAAACGAATTTGTTATTTAGTACACTAAAAAATAAATGTCCGCAGTAGAGCTTTCTGTGAAAGAATTTGTCACGCGGGTAATGATAGAAAGCAACCCTCTGTCCTCATGAATTTATTGTAAAATATATAACAGAAGGGAAAACGTGAAGGAAAAGAAAGAAGAAAGGAACAGGCTGTAACAAAATTAATGGCATACAAACAGGTACAATAATATAAAAACACTCCTTACGGATTTGGCAAACGTAAGTGAACTTACCCCAAAGGGGCCTGCATTCATATGAAATATATTGCTGCATTATAAGCAGTTTAGGTTTACATGACTGAATGACTTTTCTCCTCGAGAATTTCGATGGGATTAACGACAGAACGACGCAAAGTAAAAATGACGACGGAAAATAATGAGAGAACGATTCAAAATTTCATAAATAAGTGGCTAGGAACAAGAGAAAAAAGGTGATAAAAAGGTGGGATGACGATGAAAGAGGTCGCGTCCTCACAAATTCGTCCATAGAAGCACTGTCATCATACCTATTTCTGCCGCTAAGCAGTAATGAATTGTACATATTTACTGCGTTACGTTTTGAAGGGTGCTGATAAAACTACAGGGATTTGTGAATTTTATGTCTCAGGGTGACGGGTGCAGTGGCGTACCCCACAGATCTTTGCTATTAAAAACTCTAAGCGGTACTGGAACTGCTATGGACAGGTGTGTCGCTTACCACCAGGTGCACGAGTTGCCCGTCCCGACACTTGGTGTCATAAAAAAAACCAAATACAGTGTAATTATTTTGATATGGAGCTTATAGATGAAAAATTTAGCATCAGTAATTTTTATTCGTAGCTGTATGTGTCCATCATCATAATGTAATCTTACAAACAAAGTAGCGTTAGGTCATGCACGATTGTTTGGTCCACTCAACGCATTTTTGGGTTTATGGGTACTCGTTATCGCTTACCACCAGGTGCAATAAAGAATAAAGAAATTTTTCACTAGAGATACAGCCTACACAGTTCAACAAGTGTAACGCCTCTTTGTTTCACGTTACAGATGAAGTGTGGGAACTTACTAGATCACCACACGCCAAGCCCAAACACGTGTCGAAGATTTTCAACGCGCTGGCATCCTACGGCCTCGAAGACACGGTCTTCATGACCTTCAACAACACTGACGTCACCTGCAACGTTAATGGCGGAACAGGCATTAACCTTTCATCGTTAATTTTTTATTCTGTTGCTACTTTGACTGTTTTTAGGAGACTTTATTAACCAATAAGAGATTTGTAAGCTGCTTATATTATGGATAGAAATCTATAATTATCATTTCATCAAAATTAATAACGAACAGATTTATATACGTCTCAGTCCGCTGGTGAAGGTGCTTTATCGCCGCCTTTGACTTACTTTAACTTCGTTACGTTACTTCCACTACAGTATAATAAGACAACTATTGTAACTCCATACAAACGTAGCAGCGATGCTTGTATGTGTGCATATCTTCAACACGCTGACAAACGCACACATTCTTATAATCTCGCGGTGCACTCGCATTGCATAGCGCGCGTCGTTGTACGCTCCATTCATTATAAAATTTCGATCGGTGTAGACGTTTTAACTACAATAATTCTTTGGTGTCAAGTATTGATTTGGTCAGAGTATGCCCATAAAAGGATGTCAGCTAATAGATATGGACTCCATTATATGGATAATATCTGAGTTTTCATGAACTTTTGAGTTATCTTAGGTGACTCTACACGTGATAATACAACTTCCTTATATGATATATTCAATTCGTGGTTCTATTTTCTTTGTCCAATAAAGGCACAATAAGAAGACTTGACAATTTCTACAGAAGTGATTTGGAATTAGTTCTTTGGGAATATCATGGCGAAGAATCCTTCTCGAAGCAATAATCTCCATTTCCTTGTTTAGATACTATTTATACACTTCTGGACATATAATTCGAGCCACCTCGCATTTTCAGTAGTAAATGCCCTAAACTTGAACAATGTTTGATTGATCAAAAACTATTAAGCAATTTTGAAACTAGTATACTAAACAAAATTGCGAGGTGGTTCGTATTATGAGTCCGGAAGTATATTATCAACATTCACTTAGTTATGCATGAATAAAGCGCCTGACGGTATTATCCGACATGGCAAGTTGTCCATCGCGATCGTCAAGCACGCATGCCATAGTAAAATACTGCCCTTCTAGTGTTTATCTCTTTCTCTCGTATGTGAAATCGACCATCTTGTGTACAATTTTAATTATGAGAATTTATGTGGCAGGTTAACTTGATTGAAATCGAGTTATGAGAGAGGACAGAAACAAGGATTGTCTCGTGAAAGTTGCAATAATGCTATAAGATGATAAAATCTACTAGGCACTGTAAGTGTCACACGTGTATTGGTACTATATACCTTTTTTTTTTGTTGAAAAAAATAAAGGCGGTGGGAATTTGTGATAGTTTTTGAAAATTTATGTTAAATTTCTTTGGTTATTTTTGTGATAATCATTGGAGAGCGAGGAATAATTATGTCGGTAATTTATGTAGACTAAAAATACTCGACTTTCTGTTAGCTTTTTTTTGCACAGCCGGTCATGTAAGTCAAACCACTTTCTTTTTTGGAAATACCCCTTCCATTTATACGCATTTAAAAAAATATCCTGTAACAAATTATATATTATAATGTGCAAAGATGTCTAAATGCCAATTAAATTATTTATTAAAAATTGTTTTTCAAAAACCAGTTCTTTGTTTTTCATTACCCATTACGCCATCTAGCAATCTGCTTACGCAGCATTCCTTATAGTAGTGGTTCAAACGGTACGCACGTCATTGCTTTGTTCAGTGCAACAATACTCTTAGTAGTTCGAACAATGACGGATAGAGGGCGTTTTATTTAAGTATGCACTTTCTACAGTTCTTGTAGGAAAGATGTGGTTTTCGAAAAGTACGAAAGTTATTGATTCGTAGTATTAAGTACCTAATAGGACTGGTTAGGTACTCAATTATGACATTAACCGACATAATTTTAGACTCACTTATTTTTTGTACCAATCCTTTCATAACTCCCTATAGATATGTTCTATGTTTATCTACCATAACGAAACATACTAAAAACGTATCACCGAAGAGTTCTTATGCATACAAATTCGGAGGCGTAACTTTACGACGTCTGAAACCTCTTAAATCACACCCTGAAACTTCTTACTGCATACATCTTTACCCCCCATGGTTGCTGGTTACTTATTATGATTACGCGGAACCGTTCGCAATTTAGCGTTACAGCACTCTGGAACTCCGTGCCAGTTTAGGCGCTCGTTGTCTTTTATGGCCGTTTTTACACACCCACCGATGCGCCTTTGAGTTTAACATGGAAGTAAGTGACGTTAATAGGATGCAGTGGTGCTTTTGATTAAAAGAGGTTGTATTATTACAAAGTTGAAATAACATTTATGTGCCAAGTTTTGTTCAAATCGGTTGAAATCAGGCGAATTGGAAAATCTCCTTTTTCAAAATCAATTAAAAATACAGTCACGTATTTCAACAGGGATAATAAATAGTTAATTATACAAATTTACATATTATTATGGCAATTTAGTTCTTAATACAGTACCTGTTACATTAAAAAATATTGACAATGACTAAACATACAGACAAAGTATAAATTATGATACGTTAATTTTGACAAGACCGTTGATCAAGACCAGTACATACTTAATATTATCGAATTTCATGCTTGTATTATTATGGCAACCAATAATATTAAATTCAAAAAGTTGCAATAAGACTGCAATAAGTCAAGCTTGATGACTAACGCTCGTATAGTTAGCGGAGTACCTTTCTATTGCTTGTACACATACACACATTTTTTTTTTTATGATACCCATTGATGGAACCAACAAGTAGTGTGGCTGGTGGTAAGCGTCCATAGTAATACTTTAAATTGGACGTAGTTAAACAAAAAGGATCCAATGCACATCCAGTTACTTTCGAGATAAGGCAATTTGAAGTTTAAAAGTGTTTCTCACTCTTGTTTTATTTTGAAAACTTATAATGTCATGTAACTTCAGTGATATTTATTTATGTTTAGATGTTGGATTTTTTTGCGGATCCAAAAGGTTGACTTTAGGAACCGTTTGGTACATACAACTCATTTTTTGATAATTTTGTGGATTGGATCCTTTTTGCTTAACTACGTCCAATTGGAAAGACTTGAGGGGAACTGCCACCGCGCCCGTCACCCTGAGACATAAGTTGACAAGTCCCATGTGAATGTAATTCACATCACCAGCACCTTTACCCTTCGAAACCAGAACGCAGTAATACTCATATTACTGCTTGGCGGCAGGTGGCAGTACTTCTCTTCTCGAACTCTTTCAGAAGGAGCTCTATTACTACTTAAACGTTTTTGTGGGTTAACACGTCATCTTAGAAATTATTTAATTTTACTTATGTATCAAGGCGATCGACGCAGCGGCAGTGCCCGTAAGACCTTTGCGATTTAAAGTTTTGAGTGGCACTGCAACTGTTATGGATAGGCATGTCGCTTACCACCAGGCGCACGATTTGTTCGGTCCGTCACTTGGTATTGTTAAAAAAAAAACTTGAAAATTTAGGTATTAATGCCAAATTATAGTTTGTCGTCTGGTCGGTATTTTATAAACTAAGTGATTTGAAACCTCCAAATAATAAAAAATGGTAAAAACAGTTCACATATGTACATAGATCCATTAGCCACAACCACGAAAAAATTCTTTAGGCGCCATTTTCTCAAAACTGTGATCATAATGGTTGACACGTTATTGCATAACCTAACGTATTGTATAACATAACGTTATTGTCTAAGTCAATATACTCACTCCTATTTATATAGTGAAACCAAAAATTCTTATATCCCTGTGGTTTGTCCACGAACTTATTTCACCACGTCCTACATACAGAAACATTGTAACATCACGTCCTTTCTCCGTCTAAATAAGGTTTACTTTTGCAAATATGCTTACTAAGTTCATGTAATTGTAAATTGTAAGTTAAGACGAGTTGATTACGATGATGCTAGTCGGTGAAATAGTACAGTGTGAAAAGTTCAAGATGCTTAATCGCGTGAGTTTCAGCGGTGATAGGTGTAGGTACGTAGTTGATATTCATATAGTTTATAGTGGGATCAGTATTAAGGTGCTCTTGCACATTCAATATTATTATTTTTTTATTTAGACATTTATTTCAGGCCACTTGACCAACATAATTTACTCGTATACCTTAAGGACTAACATACTGGCCACTACATACAACTGGCCACCTTGGATTCAATGGACAAGCGTGCTAAGAGGCTTATCGGTGACTCCGAATTAGTAGAGGCGAAGCTGCAGAGCATTGAGCACCGCCGTAGAGTTGCCAGCTTATCGGTATTCTGCAGGATATAATCACGGAGAGTGTACGATGGAATTGCATAATTTGATTCCGCCTTCCCCATCATCGAGGGACTAGTTCCCCGATGATGAAATGATAGTATAGCCACGTCTAGACGTGGGCTGGGGTCCCATCCCTATGTTGTGGATATTCCTCGGATCCGCACGAAGCGTTTCGCTTTCACATTTGTATGGCGAGCGGCTCGGGAGTGGAATTCCCTGCCTGCAGACTTGTTCCCCGAACGCTATAACTTGGACCTTTACAAGGCGAGAGTGAATAGGCATTATTTACGTGTGCATGCTACATCCTCGACCTCATCGTCGCTTTCCATCAGGTGCGATGGAGGTCAAATGCGCACTAATAACAATATTTCTAACTAATGGCACTTGCCGGCGGCATGTGGCGCAATCTGGTGTCAGGTAACCGGCCGCGGAATCGCCGATATGTAACACCCTTCGGCCAAAATTCTTCCTTCATGAAGGTCGACAGATGTTCGGTCGGCACTATCACCACAAACGAATTGACATTGTGGCGGGATTCCAATAGCTCGATCCTCAGTGTGTATTTGGCTTTATGTCTGATGTCCTCCACTATCTATTCAGACTTCGTGGAGTAATGCAGTTACGAAGGTACAGCAGCGTCGTCGGTATGGCCGGACGCAGCAGGATGTCTATTGAGAAACAAATACATATTGTCTTTATAAAATTTATAACAGTGTTTTATGAAATCAAAGGTTCTTAAAGTTGAGTACCATGTTTATGGGATTGTAAAACCTAATTATGTAATGATTGTGGTAAGGCGTGTAAATAGCCAAAGGTACAATGCAAAAATGCGAATGGCTAGCACGGGAGTTGGATCCAAAAGGGAATTTAAAAGGCAGCAGAGATCCACTCACCTGGATGCTTGTCGGCGCAGATGAACACGATGAGATGCGGTACGGTACACAGAAGCGGTTTATATACTGCAGAAAAATTGCGGATAAGAGGAATAATTACAACGAATGACGGCTTATTATTTTTTTCTAAGCGGCCGACCAAAGAGCAGGCCTCTACTGCATATACCAAACATAAAATGCAATAAAAAGGATATGATATATGATAATCTAATATTAAACGGAAAGAAACTTCTAAAGCTTATAAAGTAATTACTAGGAAGGTAGAGGACATAATTTAACAACAGGACGCTTGAACGTTCCGTTCATTGTTTTAAACATGGCTACGTCATCAGACCCTGGATAAACATTTGTAATTATTCGTAAAGAAGCCAATGAAGAGGCGGTACGTTATTATCGCCCATCAAGACCATAGTCACTATTTTGATGGGATGATCCTGACTGCAACATTTAGTTCAGACTTGCAGCGTGTGCAAATAATATTCTCCCATCTTTTCCAGCAAGATTGCACTATACTCTCCAGCAACATTTTCTTATTACTGAGATTACGGCACTCACTAGACAAATCAGAAGCAGGTAAATACTGAAGCGCTGTAGACATTAAAAAGTGCGCGAAGATATAGCACTAAGCGGTTGCGAATTGAGTATACACTCAATCTGTACACGAACGGTAACTAGTTCTTCATATGTCAGAAGTTGCGAACCTATGACGCGGTACAAATGTATCTTAAAACGTTTAATATTGGTCTCCCACATGCCACCGAAATGAGGAGAACGCGGAGGTATCATTTTCCATTTAATACGGCGATTAGCGCATTCGGAATTGAATTTAGATTGAAACTCCGAATTGAAAAACATTGTACATCTCGTCCAATTGAGCTTTAGCACCGATAAAATTTGTTCCATTGTCTGAGTAAAGACAAACGACGGGGCCACGACGAGAAATAAATCTCTTAAAGGCGGCTAAGAACATATCTGAAGTTAAATCCGAGGCCAACTCTATATGAACTGCCTTCGTAACGAGGCATACAAACAAGCATATACATAGGGCGCGCTATAAGTTTCCGTAACTGATCGCTTACATAAAACAGTATTTAAAATTAATGTAATTACAACATTTGAAAATGGAACTCTGGCTATAGAATACAGTTTGTTTCATCTGACAGACATTTGTTTTTACATTGTGGCGTCATTTTAGAAATTGGTTGTCTACATCACCATGGATTTAACTCGTGAAAAATTTCGTAGTATGATTTTCTACGACTTTAAGTGTAATGTAATATCTCA